GTTGACTTCCTGCCATCAATTAGGAAGGAGTTTTGCAATATTTTTGTATAAAAATAATAAAATAAAATTAGCATAAAGAATGGATTTTATGTATTTACATATATTTTTGGGGTACAGAGTAATAATGTAATAATAAGAATGAGCAATTTGTTTCTCAAATTATGTGTATAGTATACTTCAGAATTTTTTATTTGATAGAATACAGGGTGTCCTGCATAAGAACCGAACAGAACAGGGGTGTCCAAAATATTTTGTTTAACCAAAATTAACTAAGTACAAAGTTACATACCTAAGAAGTTATAGGCCTTCAAAGAGGATTTACAAATTTAAAAATAAATTAATATCACAGTAATACTCAAACTTAAAACATTAAACTTTGGTGTAGGTACGTTTTATGAGTGTACTAAGAGTATCATTAATGGATAACTAGGAGGAATTAATTAACGTATATTAAAAGGGTTAATTAGGGATGATGCTCACTTAAAATGTTAGATTTTTTTTGGCTGATGGATGATTTAAAAAATTATATACCTACTAGTTTATTTCATTTCAAATTCAAGTAAATTCATTTCAATTTTTTTTATTAGAATACGCTTACTTAAAAACGCTAAAAAATAAAGTCATGCGTTAAATAGGCTCCTGCTCTGTGTCGATTCTTATTCAGGACACCCTGTATAAAAGCATCACGAATAATCAAGGATAAGTATAACATTGACAAAAGTTATAATTTCCTGAATAAATTTTACCAACGTTTCTGTTGTGCAATTATATTTTTGTCGGGAGATACACTTTGTCCTAATGTAATAGATTCCAATTCCGTGCTATTCGTCATTTTTGTCGTGTAAACGCCTATTCTCAACCATTTTTAATTGCTTTGGTGCGTGAGGCAAAAAGGACTGACTATCTATTAATTAGTTACTCACTGGGAGTTATTATACATATAGATTGATGATCGGGTGGATTTTCCAGCCTGGATTCGTTTTGTATAAATAGAATCGGAAGGATTGCCAAGACAATGGCTCGCGAAAGACCGACATGTCGCAATTAAGCAGTTATGAAAATAACCAGGTAAATACGGAGTGTAACCAAAAGGTAGGTCATATATTTTCTCGGGTATTTATTCGCGTTTAAAAAATGTGTTTGGTCGAAATAGAATTCGTAATATGTGAATCGTTTATTCCGTATGTAAAAGTATGAAAAATGTACTTTAAATACTCTGGAAATTTTAATAAAAAAATAAATTTTAACGATTGAAATCATAGCAGTGTTAAAAGAAGAATTAAAGGGTCCAAATTTGGACATCCTGTAAGTGTTTAATATATGTAATTGTACTGTATAAAGGATGCACCTAAAATAAACAGTAATTGGGTTACACTAATGATGTTTAAAAGTCAGCATATTAAGGAGTTTGTTGTAAGGAAAAAAATTAAAACCACATGTGGATATGCTCGGTTGTAATAATAAAAATTATTTCTGTACTGAAATTTACGAACATCTGTTGGAATTGGATCGCTTTCGGATCGCATCAGAGTCGTGTCTGTTCGCATCAAACTCGATGTTTTAATATATTATGGCTACAAGATGTTTAAATTCAATAAATGCGCCATTACGGAACGGCAATATAATGTAATGCAAAAATAAGCGACCGGTATAGATATAAGTAAATGTGCAATGCACGTTTTGAGAGTAAACATAATTTTCTACGCTTCCATAAACTTTATGTTCTCTATTAAATTTATACTCTCTAGATATTAAACCACTAAATCGGGTTTTGCATTTTTATAACTTCCAGTATGGCATGAAATTAGCTTATTACTTCCATACTTAGTAATATTATCTATAACTTATTGCATTTACGGTTTTCGGGATTTTTTGTGAGTTTTGTATATTTCCATAAATTCTAAATTTTTTTAAATATTTAATCGTTTTCTTAATACTTCTTATAATACTGCTGGCAAAAAAATAAAAAGCTTTTATTTTTTTCCTAAATAAAGAACCTATTAAAATTATCTATAGTCTTTTCAAAAAGGATAATTACTAAAAATCTATTTTTACACTAACATTTAACATTATCATTATTAATTTAGTAATTAGTAAACCAAAAAGCAACAAAAAGCGAATAATGAACTAATGACATACAATTTTCTAAACTTTGTAGTATCACAAAATTGGTAAAAACTCCCCATAAATTTTCGTCTTATTGCCCACATCCCACTTCCTTTTATTTTTACCACCAAAATAGGTTAAAAATACAATTATCTAGCAATTTGAAGTTACGAATTTTTAACTACCTAAACGAGTAATCGATTGTACCCAATTAAAGCGTCCTAATTATCAAGCAATTAATATCGATAGGTATAACCTGTCGTACACGTCACGACGCTAATCAAGCATTTAATCGTATAATTAATTGTGAAATAGTGGTAAACTCTTTGAAAGAAAACCGAAGGAAAAAACGGAGAAAGATTCTTATCTACAAAGGTTGAGGTTGAAACGAAAACAATGGGGAAATTGGATTTCGATTTTACTACAATAAAACGTTGAGTCAGGTCGTTAAGGATGTGGCGTGATGTTTACGATAATAATAATAACATTACTATTACAATAATTTGAAAAAAATAACCATTAAACGTGCAATTAATTTCGATTTTTTATTTCGTTTGAAAAACCTGTTAATTGAATTTGATTTTATCTAGTTTTGCACTGAGAGAGAAACTGAGGAAGAGATAAGTATACATATGTATGTATGATTTATTACTTGGATGAAATAGGAAGTTGATTTTCTGTATAAATTTCTGTTAATTTTGAACTATAATGGCTGAATTCTGAGAGCATCTGTATGACCTATAAGCCAAAATCTGTAAGAGACAGTAAATGCGATTCTAACTTTATCTGTAGATTATAGCAGAGGTTAAAATCGCATTTACTTTCTCTTACAGATTTCGACTTTTATTAGGATTTACAGATGCTCCCAGAATTCACCCATAAAATGGAATTGGACTTCTGTATTTTTGAATTTCTAGATATGCACATATGTATACATATGTACATACATACATAAAATATGTACAAAAGATGGAATCATTTCTATAAGAAATAGTCTTTAGACCATACTTACATATGTATAAATAAGATAATTCACGTAAGCCGTGATTTAATTCAAGGAAATTACTGAGTTATTTTCGCAGGAATTAGGAATTATTACAATTATTTATAAAATAACCAAACATTTAATTTTATTGTATTATAGTACTAATTCTTGTTTATTCGTTGTCTTATCAGTTTTCTCCTCCAAAATTAGAGTTGTTTTTCATTAAATTATCTTTAGAAATAATTTTTTTATTGTTCCCATAGGTATGTACGTCATGGAAAAAGAAATGATATTAGAATATCAATATTTTTCAATCGATTCATGAAACCATTAGGCTCTTATTTTAATAATAAATGAAAAAATACTTTGTTATAATCTTGATTTTATCGATTTCAATTCTAGTTTAATGCCCATAATTAAAGCCTGTCGAAATTTCCATTGTTTTGTATTAAAAAAATCTCCATGCCTCATTTCTTATCTTGTTTCCAAGATTACTAGTAATTTGATGAATAATTGATTATAAAAATGTGTCATGAAGGGTGGAAATAGTAAAAATTCCATTTAACACAAAATAAAAAATTAAATAATCTATATAATATAAAATAGAAAATTGTAGTAGTTGCTTAGACAAAAATTTTAATAAATTTAGAGTTTTCTGAAGCAAAGTTTAGTGATTTGCGAACAAGGTTAGTTAATACGAATAATTAATTAATTTAGTTAAATGGAAATCTTCTGTTGCAGGACATCCTTTGTGCGTGATGGTTATTACACATCGTGTCACAAGAAATGCAGCATTTTATACTAAAAATATTGAAAATAATTGCATATCGACGAGTTAATCGTGAACCACTCTATATAGATAGGACTCAAACGACCTCAAATTTTATATCACACATCTACAGTGATATCGTTTAAACATAACGTGTTGATAAGCGAAAACGGCGCTTTTATTATCAGATGACTAAAAATAAAAAATGGTAAATCCAAAGTCGCTTGTCCCTTAAATTTTATCACGTTCGTCACCACTTCAAAAAATTACGAAATATCCACGTTTCGTAGAAGTTCGTAGAAACGTTTTTAGCAAGTTAGACGGTCGGGAGTCGGCGTATCGGCGAACTTTCTAGACCGCCTGGCTGATGCAACCTTTTCGAAAATTAGAAATCGGAAAAATTTACGCGAGATAGGTACACCGGCCGCCTTCCAAAGGTTGAGATTTAGCTTCAATTGGACATGATGTAGATACACACAATTAAAAAATGATCGACAAATGTGTGCAGATAAATTTGATGCGTAGGATTACCTAATCTTTAAAACAAAATGGGGCCACAATGAGAAGTTTAAAAATTTCCTCATTTGAGATTATTTATCGCATGAAATTTTAAATGAGAACGAGAATGAGAATTTAAATTTATGCATGAATCAGTTTAATGAAAAAAAAATGTATAATTAATTATACATGTTATACCGACAAATATTATAACCGACAAATCTGGAGTCTGGATTTTTCCTAGGACATCCCAAAACGATTTCCTGGTTAATTTTTAAAAAAATAAATAAATAATTCATAGGATAAATTGAAGCCGTGAAAAAACAACATGGCGAAAATGGATGAAGCATAGATTAAATCGAAACCTTGAACTGCAGTAAAAATAGGTAATCGGAATGATTTAATGGATAAATTAATGAACGTCCATTATGTATTTTTGTTGTATTTAATAATTTATAATTTTATTGTTGTTGAAGCGGGATTAGGAAAGAATTATTATACTTTTATAATAATTGCCGGATTTTAAAAGTTTACCATGTTATTAAATATTTAATTTGTTAATTCATAGCAAATAGGTGTTATCTTTTTTTGTATAAATTTTATCTTGCTTTTTTTCGAACATATATTGAATTAAATACTCACCCCCTTTCTTTTTCTTTCTCTTTGGGATAACCCTCCATTTTTAGGGCGTCCATTTTCTTTCTCATTTTTGCCTTCTTCTTCTTCAAATTCATTTCCTCCTTTTTTCTTCTGTGATAATCGCCCGACAACAAATCTACCATATGCACCAACCCCTTGTATTGCTCCTTTCGCTTATTCTCCGCTATCTTAGCCTCAGAACCCAGCTCTCTTTGCTGAACCGGAGGATAAGCCAATCTACCTATAGAGTTTGCAATATTAAATATGTATATTATATTATCCTACTTGCTGGATTCCTAAGGGCATATGTGACATAAGTTTAGTAACTCTTATTTCATAGCAAAATTGTTGAAATAAGAAAATATATGTATGTATGTAGCTAAGACCCATCAGTTAGTGAAGACATATTCTAGAAATATTGATTTAATTGATTCAGAAGCCCATTCGGAAAAAATGTATAGAAAAAAATACAAATGAGCTGGTTAATTTTTCCATACGTGAATGTATTACAATAACAAAAAAAATTAATAATTTTGTATTCCTTTTTTAATAATTTTATAATAAATGGTTCTTTTGCACCTTTGTATTGTTTATTCGAAAACTAACAAGTTTGTCAACTAACTTAACAAGTTGTTGGCGAAATGCCAAATTATTTAACTAGAACTTAAACTTTATTCATGAAATATCCACGATTTATTTATTGCAAATAAAAGCCTTTATTTATTTACAGAATGACCAATGCAAACAAAATTTTTGACATTAAATACATCAAAAAAACTCTTAATATGTACTCCGATGTTACAGAGATACTTTGTTTATTAAATTTATCTATAGTATCTATCTAGGTCATTCCCACTTTATCCGTTTTTCACCTTGTTTACGTTCATCACGGTCGGATAATCGCTCTTCGCTTGTACGACAATAGTTTTTGACTTGTCCTAAGTCACGTAGGCAGTTTAGTTTCGTTATTATTAGAAAAACATGAGACCAGTTTGTATACAAATGCTAATTTTAATAAATGAGGGTATAATGATCTAACCAGCGTTCAGTGGTAAAGAAGGTAAGATTGGGATACCGACAGGGAAGGTAGAAAACTATTGTAAGGTACGTTTGGTATCAATCCAAGTATTTTTTTCGTTAACTGGAATACGAAAATGAATTCGATGAATTCGATCGTGCGAAACAAAGCCAACTTTTCAATTTTCTCACGGCACGTGTCGAATTTAACTAAAATTATTGCGATCGTAAAACGTTCTTGTCAACAACACGACTTCCTACAAACAAACTCTGCTTTGCATTATAAATAATTCAAAAAAATGCGGCGCTTATTTTCAATCGTTTATCAAAAATAAAATTAGATAAGTTATGATTTTGTTTGCGTACCGTCTTTCCCGAAAATTTTCATCGGCTCCTTTTTCTTCTTTCTCGACATGTCTTGGATTCTCAAATTTTGCGCTTCCGGCGAGAAAATCGTCCCTGCAAAAATATACAGCGATTAACTAAGAACCTCCCTGTATAATATACATAAAAATTTAGCGGGCGGAAAAATATGGAGATAAATTTTTCTTCCTAAAATGAGAGACACTGATAAAGTCAAATTTAATAACGGTGACTCAATATTAAAATATGTTAATTATGGATACCTACATAACTGAAAAATAATATCCAACAATAAAAATTTAATTAAATTCCTCGGATATAAATACAAACAAGGAAAATTGTATGTAGGTACCTACGAATATGAATAAAGTAATTACTTTTTATTTATTACTACAGTCGAGGTATTTATTTAATTAAAATGCATTACTGGCGACAGAAAAGAGATTAAATAGAAACAAAAAAAATACAGTGTCTCCATGCAGAACCAATATTAATTTTATAGTTTAAAAATAGTAATTTATAAACTGCGTTTCCTTAGCCAATATAAAGTGGTCTTGTTCATTGTTTTCGAAAGGCCATACATAATTCGATTTTTATCTCTCAAAATGCAAATTTTCCCCAACACCCGCTGCGGTTACGTTCCCTTTCCGGGTAATTTTCCATCAACCCCGTATCAATTCGGGTATATCGCAGGTAGGTAAGGCCGTCTCGAACTTGAAGATAAACGAGACGGAATTCCTTTATAAGCAGCATAAGGTGCATTTACGGCGTTGCACAGGTGCATTTCGATTGTGCGATCTGCACACAATAGAGACCGGGATTACTGTTGTGGAAATGTGTCACATTTGACGTGGACTTTTGGGTGATTCACAACCGCTAAACGGAAGGGGATGATATGGTTGGCTGGAAGGGATGGTTTAGAATAGTTTCGGACTTGGAATAGTCTTCAGGGCGTGATAAACTTGTAGAAACTTGTAGACCATAAAAGGCTAGATGCGATAAAATCGTTCAGGAGTTAAGGGCTGGAGGAGGGTTGAAATCCATAGAGCTCGAGGGAGTGGAATATTTTTAAAAAATCAAGTGTTAGATCGAATATTGCCCAGTTATTTTGCTAAAAAAGTAGAACCTTAAATCTACTTTGTGGCTAAAAAGACTAATCGAATGTAGATCCTTGGATTCTTGAGATCCAGATATAGCACAGTGGCGCCAGTTGGCGATCTAAATGCTCCTAACAAGATTAATTATTACCGTTATTTAATTTATTACTTAACTAATGTACGTGACAACGGTTTGTGGAATAAATTATCATTAAATTCGAAGCGAATGACGCATTTGAGAACGCCACTGTCATTGAGAATCGCTATCGCAGATTGGGTTATGTACTTCCTAATTGTGCCAAATTTAACTGTTTATCTTTTGCATATAAAACGCGCTCTAAATATGGATGCCGGGCTATTCATAGATCGTAATATTTAAATAATTGTCTAATTCGTTCGAATATTGTGTCTTATTTACTGACTTATGTAACAGGTTATCTGTTCTTCGATAAATTACATTAATTTGCATTGTTTTTATATAAAACGCTATTTTAAGCTTCGCTCAAGTTCGTTTTGGTTTATTATGCAAACAATTAGTTTACGTTTTACATTATTTTATTAATAGGTTTTGCTGAAAATGTGTGTATATTACACTATAATTTTTCGAGAATGCCAACGATTCAAATAACAAAAAACACCCTGCATTAGCAGTTTTCATTCGAGGAAATAAGTCTAGAATAAAAATATTATAATTCCCCTTTAGATGAGTTATCTCATCGCACCGAGTGGGATAATATAAATTAATACGAGGTCATTGAAAAGAGTAATAACAAACAATCGCGATTTTATTACTACACTCGATATATTAGGACATTTAATAAATTAAATTCAACAGTAGGTACTTACAACTTATATGTACAGAATATAAAATTTCTAACTTGACTTCCTCTTTAAAATTGCGTAATGCAAACATTTAACAACCTTGGTTTATGTCTGGACATCTAAAAATTCTCTTCGATAATCTTTGACTTTACGAATCTCTATATCTTCAAACAAAAATATGCCAAAAATGATGTAATGTAACACTAGTATAAATTCTAGTATTACATCATTAATTATAGAGTGATTTTTAATGAGATTTTATATATTATTAGTTCTATTTAACTATAGAACTTCTTTTTCCCAACTTCTCCCTATTCATATGGTTTAATTAACTTTTCCCCAGTTTGCATATCGTTTGAAATACTCGTATAAACTCCAAGGTAAAAACAAAAAAAAACGTAGGCAATAAATTTTTGCACAATTAATATTTTAATGTAGTAGCATAAAAACACCTGTAGTATACAGGGTTTAAGTTTAAGGGGTGATATCTTTAAATTAGACCTATTTTTTCGGATGTGCAAATTTTGTGGGGTATTTTTTGGTAGGTGCATAATAATTTTTAGGTAAACTAGGCCAAATTTTTCTTTCATTTTGCAAATGCTTAGGGAACATCCTGTGTATCAAATGCAGTAAATACACAAGAGAATACATCAAATTCGAGCACCGATTAAATAAGCAATTAATGTATAAAATTGACCGAGTAAACAAGTTTTAATTATCCATATTATCCATTTCCTCTTTGCATTAAATCTTTATTATGAATAAAAAGAAAATTTAGCTGCCTATTAACGAATAGTCACTACTTAATTAATTACGAAAATGTGTTAATGAAAAATTACTTGATACATAAATTATAATTATCACGTAATTGTTTCATTTTGTTGAAAACTTGCCACTATAAAATTCGTTTTTCATATAATTATGGATAAATCTATTTTCGTGAAAAGCTCTGTGGTTATTTGTTTCAATATTATCTCCCACTTCATAAATCTGTATGTATTTTAGCCTTCTCTTGGGAGTTCAGTGAACTCCCATTTTATAAATATGACTGATATGAAGTAAAGTATAATTTTTTTAATTCAATCCTCGAGTTGTTTTTGTCATTCACAAAATAAATAAAAATTCATAAACAATCCAAACCGTCTTTGTGCTTAGTGTAAGAAATTGGAGCTTTAAAGGATTCAAAGTCAGTAATCAAAGAAGTGAAAGAAAGCAGAAAACATACAATCTTGTCACTACCGAAAGGATCTCAAAGAATTATAAGTTATGATATCCCTAAAATGTAAATAATCATGCAGTATATGTATGTTAAAGGTGTGATGCAATTCGTTCGAAACTGAAACTAACTGAATTTCAGGATAGTTTTAATTCGCTTTTTCACTTTCACTAAATTTTAAACTTTTAAACACAGATCGGGGATACATAAAACATGAGAGCAAGCTAGTTATTAAGTACTTATCGAAATCTGGAGCGGATGTGAATAAACAGTAGTCGAACGTGCGCGGTTCAAACAATAAATTATAAAAGTAGCGAAAAAAAGTACTATTCCTGATTCCTGCATGATGATAGCGCCGTAATTTTCTTTCATCTGCAGGTATAATAATAGAATTTGCAACGACTAATTTTTCGCTTTGTACATTATACATTATATCGGTTTACATATCCACTTTCCAGTAGCTAGCTAATAAAGTCTCAAAAATAAGTTAAATAATATTTTTCTACCATTTTTATTATTCAACACACGCAAATTCATTCAAAGTTACAATAATAGAAAACCGGATTAATTTATATAACATAAATATTAAAGCACACTCGTATACATACATACATACATATGCTAATAATTTCGATATAAACAAGTTTGAACTCGCAATTACATGCTCGTTCGTTTTTCGATAAGGAAACACCTAATCAATTTCAATTTTGTGCAAATTACACTCAAATCGATAAAAATTTCATCATCATGCGAACCGGTATGACTAAGAAAAAATGTATAATGTAAAGTTAGAATTGCATCAGAATCTTTTACAATTTATGGAATAAATAATATTGGCATAAAAATTCTAATAATACGTGTTATTTGGAGTATCCATTAATTAACAATTCATTAAAAGATACGCCAAAGCATTTTATAAAAAAATATGTAGTTTTTGAATATGTTTTGAAATTGAGAATATTATAGTAATAATAAAGTAAAACTTTTAATTTATATATTTTCGACTTAGCAAACTATATTATAACTTAGTACCTACTTAAAAAATGTCCAAAATTATAATTTGCAATAAGTGTGCCTTGAATGGCAATCTCCATGCGGATTTCAATATACATACTTACATTACGTACAATCAAATTTTTTACATGCTGATAAATTTATCTAGATTTTTATGAGACATTTTCCACGTGTAAAGAATTTAAGTGTGCAACTATATGCAACATTAGTTAATTGGAAAAAGAATGAAAAATTCCAAATCTTCTAAGATAACAAGTAATTTATGATTACGCTAATTTTAACACTTCCAACTGAACCTAAAATTGTATAGTCATATCGAATGTAAAGGAAAATATCGTAATCGTGTTTAATCGTGTCCTATATTACTGTGCTTGAAATACTCAAATTAAAATTGGATGTTTTAAGTTAAGTTGGGTTAGACAACATATTTTAGGTTCCCCTATAGGTACATGCCCCTTCTCAGTGTCGATTCTTATGTGGGACACCCTGTGTATGGGAAGTATCAAAAGAAAATAACATGGACCCAGAGCTAGTCGATGGTCCATAAAGATGGATCAAGAGAGCCTTCAAGTTACAATTAAATTTCCCACCTCACATATTTTACAAAGTTAGGGGGGTCTCCTCATAAAATAAAACTCCTTTATCTGCATTCGTCATTTTAATCCTTTTTCAAGATGAGTCTTTGGTCAAAATATTGTATTATACTCGTAATGTATAGATAATTACAACTCTTTTAAGGGTTCTTTATTGCATTCTATAGCTATTCAAACGAGGCAAAATAAAGTACCAAAATTTTAGAATTTGGTACAGTACAAAGTGACTAGAGACAGGTAAACCGCCCTGAACAAATAGAAACACTCGACTCACCGATGGTCTCCGTTGGCTTGAAGTACATTTGCGTATCTTTGGCAAGCACGCCTTTGGTCCACGTGTTTTTCGCGAATATCGGCGGATATTCCTCTCTTCCTCTGACGCATTTGAACAAAGGACTGATTTCGGCATCGGGATCCAATCGGGCGTCGGGCAGCCACAATCTGGTGGGCAGCACTTTCGGGCCGTAGTTTCTTTCTTCCTCCATTTTTCTTCCGGCTATCCGGTTCCGAAACTAAACTTTACCAAGTTTTGTCAATATCAAAACTATCATGTCCGATTCCGGTCGCCGCGGTAACGGCTCAACAACGGGACGGCTTGTCATTCACATGCGGATCTTCTTCTTGTTTTATTGGTAGTGTTGACAGTGCGAATTGCAATGTTGATAGCCTGTTTGAGGAGCGAATTGCAAACCTGTTAGAGGCAAATAACCTCGTATTTCAAATTCAGTGTATTTCATACTAGATACATAAAAATTTTGATTTATTCGTAGATGTGCGATTTGCCTATCAGAATAAACATTTCGAAATGCCATTGTATTGTAAGTAGGTACAATGATTCACAATTGATTTTAGCTAGCCCTAATGAATGGTAAAATAACCTATAGTAATAGGTAGGTATGACTAATTTTTCCGTAATGATAAATAGGTACAGACGGCATTTAAAATTGTAATTAAGGGATTTTTATTGAATGAAAAACAATCCATTGGTATAGTTTTATCGGATGACCATGAAATTCGCCTATTTTCAAATTATATGTTAATTTCTAATTTCTAATTTCTAATAATATTTTAATTCGGGTTTTTGAAATGCTAAATTTTACGAACTCAATGATTTTATAAGATGTAGAAAACTATGAATTAAGAATCAAAAATCGTCTAAAAACCTTTATTGAATCATTAAAATTACCTTGAAAATATTGGATTAACAATAATAAAAAATCCTTTAAACATTGAATAATCCAAAATAATGAAAAATCATCTAAAAATAAAAACTAAGACTATGTAAAAATCATTGAATCTACTGGAAAAGCCTTGAAAAATAATCTTATTTTGCTAAAAAACTATTATGTAAGTAAGAACATCGTAATATCGACTAAAATTATGAAAAAAAATCTCAAAACAATTAAATCAAAATTCGAAAAAAAATCTAAAGTAGGTAATAAAGAGTAGGTAATCGAATGCCGCGGAAAAAAGTAACCTGCATTTCTCAAAAATATTTCATTTAATAAATTACATTGTTATATTTTTTTCAAAATTTATAGGCTCTTTAGAATTTTGAGTTTACATAAATAATAAATGTACCTACTTACCATGATTCTTTTTTGAAAAGTTTCAACGTTTCAAGATAAAATCAGTTGTGCATTCAGCAATAAAGGTGAAAAATATTGTGATCTGACAACCGGAACATTATCCGTAATAAACTTTGAAAAAAATCCTCAGCTAATGAGGAAATGATTTTACTTCTTCCGTAGTCTCCGGTAAAAAGAAAAAAAGAAAAGTCATGATACCTTTGGATGAATAACGTCAGTCGACGATCTTGATCCGAGATTGAACCTTCAAACCGCATTTTCTCCTTTTTATTTTCGTACAATATTGACGTAAATGCTTATTTTTTGAAATTATATTTACACAGGTTTCGAAACCGTTTTCGATAGAAAGAGTAAGGAACAAATTTCAAATTTGAAATGGACTAATTGACAATATGACATGACAGTGATTTCAATCAATTCGCTACCCCTGATGTAAACAAAAAATAAATATTTATAACAAAACAGGTAATCTAGATATAGCTGCAATTATTAAATAAACAATGACCCTACGAGTTTCTTATCAGGTTTAATTTATTCTATTTTTATACATGAGCGTTCAAATTCGACCCCCGTACGCCGCTGACGATTGGGCGATCGGATACGCGGTGTTGCCAATAGAAAACTTGAAACAAAGAACAATGCATCTACACACTACACACCGGTCAAATTTCGATGTTTTAACAAGAAATGCAATTTTTTTTAAGAATAGTGAAATCTATAATTATCGATTGTTTTCTAGATGTAATCTAATGTTTAATTTTTGAATTTATATGTATATAACGTTCATTATTATTACTCTTAATTAAACTCTAGAATCAAACCTTAACAACTTGGCGTATTCAATTACAAAATGAGATGCTAATATTCAATCATCCTGTATACTACTAACATCAAAAATCGTCCACAAAAATACCTAACCATCAGATAATCCAATAAACCGCTATATTTGGCAACAGCGAGGATGCTGCTCTGCCGTATCGCCGCTATACCAGCTATACCTATTCTACAAAGATCACGTAGGCCCGTCTCGAAGTCGCACGAACTCGCGACGACTTCGCCCGAACGGGCTAGCAGCTTTTATAAATACAGCGAACAGCTGATTTTTGTTAAGCAGTTCCTCTATGAAGCACAGATGACAGGTTTCGTTCGAGTTAGAAAGTAGAAAGCCGGTTGTTGACAAGTAATTGACGAATATTTTGTGATCGTTTTCAATTAGAATGGAGGTGTTACCGTTCGTCGATATCAAACACAGCAGTCCTGAAGGTAAGTGTCGGGATTTCTCGAAAATCCTTTGTACTTGTAATTTTTCCCAGTTACTAAGCGAATCGAGTTGAATAAATGTTGAGTGAGAAAAGCGTAAGAAATGAACGAATTCATCGTTTTGATAGAGTTTTTATTCAGCTCGGTTCGCTTTCGAGCCCTTTAAAATTAAAGCCCTTTATTCCTTTGTTCCCTTCGACCTGTCAAAAGTTGGACGATTTTTCTCTCAACTCTCATCGTATTTTCGCGAAAATCGGCTATCCCGCAGCCGAATCTATCGTTTTCGCCGGCAGCAATCCCATTGCGTTCAATTACCGCAGAAAAATCTCTTTTTGTCCTATATTTTTAATTACTCTTTGTTTGAAAGTCAGATGTTAATCGAATGAAAATCGATTCGGCACTCGCATCGATACCCGCAATCGTTCCGGCGATTGCATCATCGGAATCGCCGGCTTTGTGTCAGACATTTCGGTGTTTTGTTATCGGAAATTCGGCTAAATTCCACGAAATCTTTGATTTCGCAAATAAACTATTACCTATTGCTTATTTAGTAAATTTGCTATTATTTAATTATGCTCTGTTAAGTATTTATTTAAATATTGATATTGTTTGTATTTGTTGTTATCGGCATTAAGTTATTCAATATTTTTTGCAATTTTATTACAAGTAAAACAAATTCGATTGTTGTTAGTTTATATGGTAAAAATAGTAGAAAATGTTAGAAACATTGAATTTCCTTTGTTCCCGAAATATACAAGTTGCCGGTATGCAGTGTTGCCAACTACAGAAAGTATTCTATTTTGGGGGAATTTTTCATACAGAAGAGAATAATCATTTTTACCCTTGATTTTCAAAGGGATTATTAGAAATAATTGATTTTAAATTACATTTACTCTTAAAAATTTCATTTAAAATATAAAAAAAAATAATTGATCAAAAAATTTGTAACTATAAAAAGCATTCAATTCAATTAAAACTATCTAAAAAAAATTGCATCTATAAACCACTAGTATTTTTCCATAAAAAACATATTCCTATACCAACAGAGGTAAAAATAATATCGGTCCGGCAACACCGCCAGTGTCCTACATTTCGCATTCGCCGGGCCGCATCGATTCTCCGATTCGATTGGCCCGAATCGATTCTCGCATTCGATCGTCGTTGCTAACCTACGATTCCTACCGGCTTCTTGAACAACCGGCTCGCGTACACGGCGCGACCTCCATTGACCTCGAAAGCAGCGCTTAGCAACAGCGAGTTTCACTGGTGGCTTTGATTAATTAATGGCTTTCCAGATGTAGCCGAGGTAGGCGTTATGCACATACGGGGCCTTGGGCCTGCACCGATGCATCTCGACAAAGCCCCGAAATCGCGGAAATTATCTTTTTATTTATTCGTAAATAATCGTTTAATAGTTTAATCGCTTCGGTGATAATTGGTAATTATATGGGCATATTAATGTGGTGCTTATGTTAGGAAGCGCTATTTTTATAACTGTAAACAAATTCGTTAGTGTTGTGCCTATAAAGTGACTTGTTGAGGCTCGTTAATTGCACTTTTCGTGCTTCTGTTATGAAATAAATTGATTAAAGCTAATTACTGGTAAATGTAGGAGCTTAATTAATGCGCTCGGTTTTATTAGAGAGCAATTTCGCGAATAACCCCATTGAAAGGGCGTTGATTAAAAATTACAGCGAGCTCGTCCGTTTTGTTCGAATGAAATGATAGTATAACAAACAGGAAGTGATAAGATAGTATAAAAAAACAAACTGCAAAATTATAGTACAACGGTTTTAAAAAAAGACTCACAAATAGTAACTAATTAGTAAATAAACGAATGAATCGAATATAACATAATCGATTTGATTTGATTGACAAATGTAATTATGTGTGCGATATTAGCATAAATAAAATCGACAAAAACAAAGCGATAAATTGGAACCGATCCTTTTGCGCTGACGAGTGATCGAACGGAGTTCTAATCAATTAAAAAACAAAAGGATATAATACGCGCGTTTTCATTTAAATATATTTACATGCGAAATTTTATTTTGTTCTTTGTTTTGCTAAATTGTAAAAATAAGGAACCAGTTTTCTCGTTGGATATACTACGAATGGACGCAGAGAAGAGAAAAAAATTATTGGTTACGTGCCAATTCGGTTACGAAAATAGTCGTAATTCACACCGGCTTCGATAATAGAAAGTTCGTTTCTTGTATTTTTAACGCTTTATACTAATAGTAACGCGCCCTGGGTGTTATTTTTAAGACAAATTTATCTCATTTTTATTAGAAATGCAGAAATAGTGCATTGTGGGTGCATTAAGAAAATTAACGTGCAGTGGCTGCTTTATTTGAATATATTTTTGAGGAAAACATTAATTGCACTCGATGTTAATTTTTTTATTTAAACCCACCAAAATTGAAACTTTAAAATACTTAAAAAAATCTTTAGCAAAGCTGAATAATTTCTAATTTATACAATTTTTATGAACAAATTCTCACCGTAAAATAACAATAGTTTTTGTGCATAACTTTTACCATTTTCTATAAAATAGAAATTTCAGATTAATTTTTAATCGATCAATATTCTCATGTTAAATTATAAGAATATAAAGAAATCCATACACACTATTTATTATAATGAAGCAATTTTCACTAATTAATAAAATTGTAGGTTTTCTTTGTTCGAACATTCAAAGGTCGTACAATGAGGAGAAACTGAAAAAAAAACTAGATAAATACACCAATTTAAACCCGTTTTGTATGCGCAAAAGTTAGGCATTCTGGTAACACAATTAACGCAAAATGACTCATCCGTTTAACCTTCGAATTAAAAAAAAATCGATTTAATATCTACACCGATAGAACTAATGTATTATATGTATTATTAATCGAGAAAAACAGTTCGGAGTTAATTATTAATATTAATTACTATCGTTATCTAGAAAAAAAACTGAAATTTATGATACGGAACGGGTTGTTTTCGTAATTTTGTTTAACATTACATATATAATTTTTATTTATTCGAAAGAAGTGGAAAAGCGAGATAAGATATTGTAATGCGTGCGCTCGCGTTCGTACGAAATTATCCGGTTTTAGCTTGTATTTACACGAAAGCGAAATGCATATTTACTTTGTGATTGTGATAAAATAAACGCTTCGTTTCCAGTCTTGGCAAGTCTCGGGTAGAGCCTAAATCCTTCGACCGATAATGCTTGTACAAACACAAATAATATACACCTACTTTTAGGTGCGTATCTTCATTTAATTTCGATTGGAATAATTGAATCGATTATACATTTAGAGGTTTGTTTTTTCTAAGAGATATTTTTGTAGATAACAGTTTTGACATTTGTGAGATAAAGATCGTGCAATAATAAAAAACGCGGTAAAATTTTATGCTTTTTTCCTTTGTTGGTAATTTTATACCGGTTGCCGATGGAATAATAAAATCACTGTACCATTTCTAATCTGAACTTTACTTTCTTTTCGAGCCATTGTAGCGTGAAATGTCTCTTGTATGGTAATAAACACGCATGTTCGTTCGCAAGTTTTAGTGGAAGTTTTCCTATTTCTCTCCGGTAATTCGTGCAAATAGGCGGCACATTGTCTTTCGGATGAATCGGGAGTTTCATTCGAGTCGATTGGTAAACGTAGAATAAAAAGCGGCTGTGGGAAAAACGAGAACTGGGTAGTACAAAAAAAAAAGTAAGCCGGCCGGTGTAAATTGAATCGGTAATAATTAACCTTTTTGTCAAAACAAGTTTGCGCGCATAATTCGCGATTGTGTGTAAATTGCACATTACTAAATTAGATTTACTAGATTAGCAATATCCAAACAGACGCCTTCACTTCATAATAAAAAAATGGTAGATAGAAATTTCTTCTCTACAATGTCCGAATTATAATTGAAATTAAGACTGGGTGTTAGGTACATGGGTGTTTGCATTATCAATTACCGATGTTTGTGTACGTAGTAAACATTATAATCTCGATCTAAAAGAGGAAACACTCCTATCGGTTGCGTAATCCCCGAAAAGTTGAATAAGAGACTCCGGCGTTCGGAGTAGCGGAATAGCGGAGTACCGAATCCGAAACAAGATCGGTTTTTTTCCATCCATCGCGCTGCTGGTTACAAATAAAAAAGCGAGGTCAGTCGTAAATCAAAATCATCTGGCTTTGTCGAGGACTGGCGAAGGCACGCCTCCGATTTTACCGCAACAAGTCCGGACCTACGTGCCCGGAATATCGACCGGCTCCGGCGTGCGAGAGACAGAGAAAGACCGAGCGCGAGCCGGTTTCGAAAGGGCGAAGGGGTGGCACGGTTAATACTCTACACATCCGTACAAATAAATTAGGGACGACTTTGGCTCGGAACAAAGGAATATTTTTGTGTAAAGGGAATTGATATCGGGGACCGAGCGAACAAAGAGAAACGCGGATAATCGTACGCACGCTGAAAGGAGAGATTACATTATGTATGGATATGTGTTCATCGTTCGGAACCGGTTTTTCGAGAGTTCGCTTCGGTATATTTTATCGGTAGCTATTATCACTCGACGTTAGAACGATTTATGTTTATTATATTAATTTATAAATGTAAAACTAGTAGCGGCCGTAAAAACTACCTGCGCTTCTTTAGAAACACCTCTACCATACCAAGAAAAGGCTACAAAAAAAATCGAAAGAGAATCCCTCCTACTCCTCCTTTGTGATATCCTCACCTTAATCTTATGCACTATGTATATTATAGCGTTATTCTACCTGTTGGAAACGCAACGGTATCGATCACCTGTTACGCTCTCCCTAACCACTATCGTTTTCTTTCTTCTCCAGGCTGTGATCCATCCGAATACAATGAATTCTTTCGTTCGGAGGAGACTTCTTTGATTGAAGCCCTATCGAAGAGACTGGAGGCCGAGCTTAGGACTGCGAAGCGTACTCATCTGTCGGTCGGGGACGTGCTGCTGCCCAACGGACTGACCCATTCCATAGCCAAAGACCTCTTCTATTTGGCCGACTCCGAGCCGTGCGGTTTGCGCGGCTGTACGCTCTACATAGACTTCGAAGCGAATGATCTCAAAACGAATTTGAGCAAAGTCGAATGCGATTCATCGACGCCGTCGACGTTCGAGGTTTATTTGACGCTCAAGCAGACGACGAAAGGATGGAATTCGTTCCTGCCCCAGTTCCTCAAGTAAGTACTAATTTGCTCTTCTATGACATAAACCATTCTAGTGACAATAGCGAAATACCTTAACTAGTCTTAGACCTTTCCATTCCATTTGGTTGTGCTTATTCCACAACACTAAATCTTCTTACTCTGACTACTACTCAATCATCTAGACTCAATAGTTTCTTTTCTTCTTGCCTATTATTCCTGTAATACAGGACTCTCCTTCTTATTCCTATCTCAAATCCATTCTTTGGAGGAATTCCTTCCGGACCAATAAACGAAAATAAGTTTATTTAAAATTTGTTACTAATTGATTTATTTTGTTTGTTACAGAAAAATCACCAATTCAGGAGAACTAATTATAAGTGCGGAATACGGGCTCCAAAAGAAGCAATTGTACAGATCGAGCTACTAGCCCGAGTGATTTACTTGTGATCGTTCACATACACATATACGTATAAACATATATAACTCGAAATTTTTTAGTTCTTTCACTATTTTTTTTTTGTATAATCATATAACTATATCATTAGTTGTAAATGTTTTCATTTTTCATTATGAAGTTAGTTTAACATTGAGCGTGTAAGATACATTGCGATGGAATAAGCTGAGAGTTTTTAAGGTTTTTGGTACTTTTAAAAACACTAAAAAAATTGTGATATAGGTGTGCAAATTATAAAAGTGTTATATTTTTTGTGATATTAGTTCGATAATTTTATTTTTATAGAATAGGTGCGTTCGAAAGATATTTGGTTCAGAACTGAAGTTATACAATAGCGAGCGAGGCGTATCGAAGAGTAAAAATTTAACGAATAATAGGCATGATGTGCAGTTTAAATCGGTTAAATTGCTTTACTCAGGACGAGATTCGTTTGTTTTGTTGAATGTGATCGATTCAGTATTAAAAACCTTCTTTACCAAATATTCTAAAGAACAATCTGATCTCAAATTAATATAGATTTGTTAGAGATGTGGGAATTTTTATACATTTTTAATAGAAGTCTTCATAAGATTTATGTACTTCCATACTAATATTACTAGATTTTTCAAGGCAATAGACACAAAAGATTAGGAAGATTTTGACGGCGCGTACTTGATTTTTTTTTAATTCAACAGAACTTTATGCTGTTATTCCTAATCTTTTTTGTCTGTTGTTTTGATTCAATGTACTATTACGAGTATTTAAGTGTCTGTACCAATAAAACTAAAAAAAAAAATAAATCTTTGAAGTATGTTACACAAGTCTTTTAATTTTTATTGTACTTACTATATTTTTTTTCGAGGTTGAAGTCGACAGCGCGCAACAAAAGTAATTGCGAAGAAGTGGTCAAATATTAATTGTCCGTGACACATTATTTCCCATCCATCCGATATGAATGTAAAATTTTGGTAGAATTTCAGTGTTGTCAAGATAAACAAAATTCGTATTTAAAATTTATAAAGCATATTTATTCATATTTAAAAAAATATAAATAGTCGTATTCAAAATTTGGATAATTATTGCACTTTTACTGTTGGAAAAACAGTTACCTAGAGCGAATTTAAATTAACCACAATAATAATTAGTATACTAAACAAACTTTATTTATTGAAAATAATACTTGTAATACGGTAAACGACATGTCTTATATTCAAGCAGTTTCTACCAAAACATCGAAATTGTTATTGAGCTGTTCATACGCCTGCTCTGCCACTATAGCCAACTGGCCCTCCGGCAAAGATGAAGATTCCTGCTTCAAAATCCTCACGGATTTTCCTAAAATATCGATGGTTTTTCTCAGCTCTTCCTTGAACTTCTCTTTACTGATCACTTCGTTCTGATACTGATGTCTCGTCAATACCATCAGAGGACCGTGAAGTTCGAAGAATATTACACCTGAAACAATCAAACTATTTAGAGAAAACATACCAAAAATTCAGGTAACTCTTTTTAATTATCTCTTAAATGTATATATGTTATATTCCTGCTTAATGGTCTACTAAAAACCTACCTCTAATTCTTGAATATCCGGGCTCAATAACATCGAGTACTTCAAGCAATTGGTTACACAATTCGACTTTTCTCTCCAATATCAAATCCGGCAAATCGTCTAACGTGTAACCATCAGCCTTACCATAGAGTTGAACGAGAGCGCTTCTCAGGATCGTCATGTAAGAATTTTTAGGATGCAACACGGATTTGTACTTTTTGTAGAGCGTTTCGCGACTTTCTATACCTAAAATTAAGATAAATAAATCATTCAAGTGATTCTGTAGGGTGTCCCGCATAAGAAGCGAGACAGAACTAGGGCGTAGGGGAGCCTAAAATAAGTTGTTTAACCCAACTTAACTTAATACAAAGTTACAATACATTCCTGAGAAGTTATAGGCCTTCAAAGTGGAGTTACAATTTTAAAAACAAATAATATCTCAGTAATATTCAAAATTAAAAAAACTAAATTTGGTGGTTGTTATGAGCGTACTAAGAGCATTATTCGATAGTTAGAATGTTTTTGCCTTAAAATGTTATAATCCAGGTTGGAAAATCCACCCGATCGTCAATCTATATAATAACTCGCAGTGAGTAACTAATTAATAGTCAGTCCTTTTTGCCTCACGCACCAAAGCAATTAAAAATGGTTGAGAATAGGCGTTTACACGACAAAAATGACGAATAGCACGGAATTGGAATCTATTACATTAGGACAAAATGTATCTCCCGACAAAAAATATAATTGCTCAACAGAAACGTTGGTCAAATTTATTCAGGAAATTATAATTTTTGGTCAATGGTATACTTATCCTTGATTATACGTCGTGCTTTTATACAAGGTGTCCCAACTTCTGAATTATCTGTTCAAAATCATATGTGACTTTTTTTAGCGTTTTTTTCTTAAAAGGATAAAGAATTTTAAACAACAAAAAGAATAAAAAAGTTTTAAAATGACATTGCCTATGAAATGAACTAATATTTTTTTAAATCATCCATCAGGTAAAAAATTCTGCAACATTTTAAGGGAGCATCATCGCCGATGAGCCCTTTAAAATACATTAATAATAAGTCTGTAACTTCTCATGAATCTAACTGTGTATTAATTTAAGTTGGGTTAAACAGCATATTTTGGACTCCCCTACATGCCCCTAGTCTGCGTCGGTTCTTATGCTGGACACCTTGTAGATACTTCGATAAAAAATTACCCTCAGCTCCGAAAACATATTCCACTTGATCCAAATCTTCTTGTATAGCAGCGAACACTTTCCTCACCGCTACAGCGTTGGTTTTGTACTCGCAATGCGTGCATTTCCATTCGCATTGGTCGTCTGAAAATAACTCTTTGAGCATCTACATAAAATTACACCAAATTCAATGTGCCTACCTAAAGGATTCGTGGATAGGATAACTCCATTGTCGCACCGTTGGCATTTCAAAGTACCACAATGCGTCCCCAATTCAGTTTTATCCCGACACCTCGAGCACGTGCACTCGAAATATTTGCTCTCCCTGAGGAACTCCCTTCGGACGAGCGTCGGCCACAACGAATAGGTGTAGCTACTGTGGAGCTCTCCACCAGCTGGTACGTCGACAGCGGCCCTTACCGTCACGCTAAAAAAGAATTGGCAGAGACATTACTATCTTGCTCATTGGAGTGCTCTGCAGAGCCTTAGGCAGTCCAAGCTCCTACTGAGGGGCTGGACTGATGAACATGCTAGAGCAGCTGTAGAACTACCAAGGAGCAGGTTAAAAAAGATAGCAGTACTCCTAACAGGGCACTGCTGTCTGGGAAAGCTGCCTCGATAACCTGGGTTTAGTAGACAATGTTCCATGATGGAAAAATTCAGTGATAAGATGAACTACATGTTGAACTACCTTGCTCATGCAACTTACCTGAAATCGTCGACATTGCCATTTCCTTTGCCATCGATGGCATGATGGATGTTCGAGACGCAACTGTGAGACAATATGGCCAGTTTAGGGAACAGGCACCTGATGGCATTGCCTTCGGGCGTTCTGGCCTCGAAGGCGTTGATTTCGAGAATTCCGCAAGCGGTGTGAATCAGTTCCTCGGGGAACCGGTCCAGTTTGCAGGCCGATCGAAGGTATTCCACGACGTTATGCTGGTTGAAGTTCCAGATGGGGCGCTGTTTGCGGATGTCGTTGTGGGCCTCCATGTGTTCGATTTCTTCTTTCCATCTGGTCGGGTTCTTTTCTTTGGCTAGTAGAAGCCTGTGAATTATATGATTAAACCAATCCTGCAATTCGCTACAAGGTTGTAGTGATAGGAGACACGAGATAAACACCTACCTAAGTGGAGTGATGCATTCGTACTGAAGATTTACTTCGGATAAATCGTCAACGATTTGGAATTTTACGCCGGCTTTGGAGAACGTTTCACATTCGAAATCTTTGTGTGTCGATTGGCTCTCACATTCGCTGTTACAGACGGGCCAAGAACATTTTGAACAAACATTGAGGGTTTCTAGGAAGTTGTAACAACCCAGGCAAACGACTGGGCTATCTAAAAACATACACGTTCAATTCGATAAATTTACATTACAGGATTATTTTGTACCTGATTTAGGACCGTAGACGAAAGGGGTTTCTGTTAGAATAACATCGCTAGCTTTGAGGTCTTTCTTTGCCACTGCATACCTTCCGACTTTGTCGTTTTTTCTAACTTCAAATAAATCCTAGGAAGATGCGAGGAATTGTTTACTTTAGCATTGCGTTTTACAAAACTTACCATTTCTGGGTGCAATTAAAACGTTCTTTTTATGTTTGTATGTACTTCACAAGTTTTATTATACCACAAATCCGATTTCTGGTTTATATACGTACAATTTAGATAGACTTGGCGTTTCGTCAACAGCGCTGATAAATATAGAACGGTTTTGATATTACGGCCTATTTTCCCGAGTAGGTAGGTACGTTACTCGAAAATTCTGGATAAATTATTATTAGATGTTTTTGCAGCAATTAGTTGTATTTTTAATTGAGACAATCTATTTATTTTATTGAGATATTTGAGGAACCTAGCTAATTAAGCGGTCAATGATTCAAATAGTTATTTTGTAATTCAGTTAATTATACAATTTTTTGAAGATTTTTTTATGATTTTTAGATGACTCAATGATAATTTTAAATATACCAAGTGATCAAATTTGACCAGGGTGGTTAAGAATAAAACAACATTTTTTATGTAGTTTAATACACATTTTTTTGTTTTTTTTATACACATTGCTCTGTGTCGGTTCCTAAGCGGGACACCCTGTATTTTAAATAAAATAAATGTGTGATAACTTTGGCTAATCAAAAACTTTTGTATTGGCAAATTCTTCCCGTTGGTAAAACTGTTCTGGCTACAACAGTGAGCACCCTGTACAACTTTCTTGTTTATTTAATTTAACGATTTTTTATACACACAGTCGTGTCAAGGTGACACGTTTTGAACATGAACCTGAATGATATACTTCACAGTTTAGACTGCTCAGGACATTTCGGGCACGTAGTCAGCACCGAAGAAGCGATAATTCTCTACAATTCGCTGTTGATCCTTCAGAACGAGAACCATTTCAAAGAAGTGTTCTTCTGGGGCAAGATATTCGGATCCGAAAAGGACTATTACATAGCCTATGGATACGAGAAGGATATTTTGTACGGGAAAGTGTTTTATTACAGCCTGAATTGCATTGATTGGGGGCTGATGCCCAAGGCTACAAAAATGGGTTTATTGTTAACACCGCTTTGCACTACCAAATTTCAAGGTAATTTTATATTTCTCTAACGACGAGATTTATAAACTTACCATATCGTTCTTCCTCTTTAATGGTTCTTTGTGTAAGAAACCATTTTTTCGCAGGTGACCCTTCGTTGATAATAGACATTCTGATAGAAAAAGAGGAAACATTGGTTCCCGCTAAAAGAAAACAAGCAGAATTGAGAAAACTAAAAGAAGAGGATAGATTAGCCGCTACAGTTTCCTTGATATTCGACGAAGCCGGAATTATCCCCAGAATGGGAATATTTCGCAGACCAGACGGCATGGTAATAAACAACACGGCTTTCGAAGGACTAAAGAGCATCGACGCGAGAGAATGGTCCTCTTACTTGCATTTCCGCGTCCCCACTAGAAAACAAAACACCAATTTGCTGACCAGTGACGATTACAATTACGCCACCGATTTTTTGGATCCCATTGACATGGACATACCCGAGGGGTGTTGGATGTTGAGAATCGGCCAGGCCGAAGACGTGGCGATTTTGAAGTCCCTACATTGGCCCGGGCTGGTCTTCTACCATCATTTGAGAACGCCTAAACACGGCTTCTTGTACTTCGGGCACGGCAAAAGGTGCTTGGACGTGCCGTTCATGCTCAGCCCTTATCAAATGTGATTTATATTTTGTTCTTGTTATACAATAAAGTTTACATGTTTTTATATTTCACTTATAAAATTGGTTATTTAAAGAAAATTTGGATCCCTATTATTTGAGGTTATGTGTGTTTATTATGACAGTGACATTTGACTTATACTTGTCAATTATATAAATAAAAAGAGAAGATTCTTTGAGCGGTAACCTTTAGAGCAGAGGTCACTATTCGAAAAATTGAAGAAGTTTATAAACAATAACAAATAACACATTTTTAATTTTTGCAAAAGGCATAAAATGAGTAAAAAAAACCCCAATGTAAAAGTGAGGGAGGCGAATCTTTTAGAAGCTGTTAATTCCAACTCAAACAATGTGGATACCATGTTAGAGAAAGTGCAAGAGATCGACTACACCTGCACGTTTGAAAAATGCAAAAGTAAAACTAAAAACTTCGGAATTGAGTGCAAATTTTGCAAAGGTAGGTTCTGCACCAGCCACGGGTTACCGGAAATCCACGGTTGCGGCGAAGCCGTGAGAAGAGAGGAACGAACCAAGTTTTTACATCAGAATCCCACGGTTTCGCAGGAGAAACATTCACAGGCGCAAACCAAGCTCAAAATGAAACTGAAGCAACTCCAACAAGAGAGAAAATCTAAAGGAAAACCCAAATAATAGCAACATGATTGCGGTGTACTACTAGGTTTATGAATGTTTATTAAATTTAATTATTTCGATGGCTGTAATAGGAGTGTTAGATATCTACACTCGCTTAATAATAAAATACTTTTTCGCTATGATTTAATATTCTACCCACTTTTAGTAATAAGTATCATTATATACCTTTGTTTATGCACCTGTTTAAAATATACAACCCTTTTAAATAACTTCTTATACATAAATTTATCTAAAGGGCCATTGATTAGACATTTTTAAGCCTCATAATAGGAAAGTAATGCAACTAAGGTCAATTTTAAATATTTAATAATAAAATATTACTTCTATGTTGGCAGTAATTATCTACAATATTTTAAAAATAGTAAATTATGTTTACATTATACTAAACTAATATATCTACAAGGTACAGCAGATAAAACATCAATTCGGTAGATCTTAGAAAAGCCTAAATGGAATTGAAATCTGGAAAATAGGACTAGGAATGAGGATTTTAAGGGATGATTTAATGCAAATACTCGCTTGATATGCTATTTACACTGGAAATTGCGCTACAACAAAACGTAATATTATCTATGATGCGTAAGATTGGATCTACAGCCACTAGATTATCGCATTTCTTGGATTTTAAGTGCGGCTGTAGTAGCCAATGAGTTGAAAAACGATATACCAAATTACATGCAATATCCTGTAAGAACCAGAAGTAGCATATCCAATATTAAATATTTTCAGAATGCAATTCCATTACATGTCTGAGATCTCTCTGATCAACATTTTATTTGCCGCACCTCAATTTTTTGCTCAATCAGGCCAAAAGGATTAGAGCGATTGTGTTAAACTTGTATTTTAATACTCTCATTTTCCAGCACTTCATCAAGTGCAATAAAACCTTTACCCTAAATTATTAAAGAAACCCGCTTACTCATATTTATCGTAGTAGTTTTCTTCAATAACAAATTAAAGCGTACTATACATTATAAGTCTTCCCGCACGAGCAATCATACAAAAAAATAATTCGAGCAAATTTATCCAGCATCGGGCGTTTGGAAGATTTCTTACAATTAGAGAGAAATCGTCTAAGAAACATTATAACGTAAGTTACGCCCTAAAGGGAAATCCACCTTCCGGATTATCCGTAGCCCTTCCCCAGGGCCACGAAGTCGATAAAAATTCCTACACATCGAACGCGTTTACTATTTTCCCATTCCCACCAAGGCTTCGTCCATTAGCTCGTCGTCCGTTATGCTGGGCGACGCGGAATGCGGACTGGGGTTGATTAGAGGGCTAGGCGCCGGCGATTTGACTATGTGAACACTGACGGAGGGAGATTGAGGCAGGGCCGGCGGCTTCGAGCTGAAATCCAACACTTCGTCGTTCTTTCGCGAATCCTTCCTGTCGTCTCGCGGCGCTGGCGCCACGAATTTCGACGAAAAATCCACCGATTTCGTCGGGTAGCCGAAGTCCGGCATTGAACAGTTGTACAATTTCGATGGCGGCATCGAATCCATTTTGTTGGCGTTGTCTTTGACTGGAATTTAGTAAAACGGTTATTAGATCATTTTACTTGTTGTTTATTGATGTGGTGGTGTTAGTCGACAATAGTGGCGTGTAGTATGTCCAAAATTTTAGACTTAAATCCTTGAAATTTAGTCAGGCGAAGAAGCATTGGAATTACTTAAAGTAGTGCAGATTCTAGAGCACTTTTGTTTGGTCTAGAACCGGCATAAGATATAGGTGGTCTAGAACCCAAAAGTGGTCTAGAACCGGCACAGTACTCTCATATTAAACTTATGATCAGTTAATCAAGGCAAAAAGCTACAAATGTTTATACGGTATCCAACTTACCTTGTATGCTTATTGGATTTATGGAAGTATCTTTTTTAGTGTTACTTTCTTCTTCGGTAACAGTCACTCCAATGGGAACGCTGTTCAGGTTGTTTCGAATCTTCGTCTCCATGGCGGTATCGAACGTTTGATTGATCGCGGGATATTTGGTCGAATCGTTCTTCATGATATCGTAAATTTTCGGCTCGGATTTCGTTCTGTTAACGTTGCACGGTTCGTTGCGAACGGGTTTCTTATCGTCCGACGTTCTGGCGGACAGTTTCGGTATTTGGAAGTTCTTGTCCAACGTTTTGATCCTGCCCTCCATCAGACTCGATTGCGTCATTTTGTAGATATTATCGACCTCCTCCCTGCTCTGCGTGGGACTCGACTTTTTGCATTCCTTCAGCGAGGACAGCAGCAACTTCTCGGGGTTCATCTTGCCGGATTTCAACTTATCCTTGGAGCGGATCAAATCGGACGCGGACGAGTTCGTTTTGGGCGAGCCCGTCAGTTTCGAACTGAACTTAGATAGAGCGGCACCGGTGCTGCCGGTACCGCTATTAGACGAACCGGACACTTTCGAATAGCCGGACGACACCGATTTGTTGCCGGGCGCGAAGCTCTTTGCGCTGTTATTCCCGCTGTTGCTGGAGGTAATTGTGATCGAATTTGGCAGCAGTGAATTGGTCGATTTTTGGAGTTGCTGGGGCTTCTTCGAGGCCGGACCGCTGTTAACGCCCGGCTTCAGGCCCGTGTGGGTTTTAGGCGAGCTCGTACTGCTTACTGAAAGATGAAACAACCAAATTAAAACATATTCTTAGGACCAGATAAACGTGTTAATTGAATTTGATACTATCCTTGAAATTGCATTTCAAAACCCTTCTAAATCTACAATTTTGTCAGGAGATTATGGCCCGTATTCAGCGCCCAACTTTGACTTTAAACATGGCTTTAGAGAGTCATTTTAACGTAAATAAACTCCCTAGTTATTCCACAACAATAATGTACAACCGTAACTTTTAAAATAAGGCGCTGAATAGCGAGACCTATGGCTTCTAATAAGGATAAAGAATTTATCACAAAGCCTAGAAACCACTATTTGTTTCTTCCATTTTCTATACTCACAAAGTTGAACAACCCCTTTAATTGTGAGCCCCAATATCTTCAATTCTTAATTTTAAACTTACCTTTAGTAACCACGACGGAATTCAACGACGAATTATCCTTAGTGCGAGTCTTGTTGATAGTAATTTTCATCCCGTCCGAGCTGGGTTTCACCATGTACTCCGAATTCTTCGCGTCGCCCAGCTTCGCGACGATTTTCCCGCTCGATTCGCTCAATTTCCCGACGCCGCCGACCGTCCTCTCCTTGTTGCCGCCCGACGGGGCGTCGCAGTGCTGCGCGTTCACCTTCAGCTTGTCGACGATCGCCGACAGCGAGCCCTTCCGGTTGATCCGCAACTGCGACGAATTCAATTTGACGTCGTTGCCGCCGTTGGGCGACGGCATCCCGTCCGCCGTCAGGTCGCCGCTCAGCTCCAACAGCTTCACTTTGGCGGAGGAGCTTTTGGTCTTGGCGCCGGCGGCGCCCAAGCCGCCCGACAGCTTCGCCTTCTCCTTGTCCCTGCAGCCGTCCTTCGAGCCGCCCGACTTGGTCTTGACGTCGCCGGTGGTCTTGCTCGAGGGGGAACTGGCGGCGCTCTTCAGCGCCGACATGCTGGGCTTGCCGGAGCTGGTCGACGTGTGCTTGGGCGAGGTGCCGTGATGCTTGGGACTCGACAGTTCGGATATCGGTTGTTTGGGGCTGCTGGGGATGTGCGCCGGGGAGCCCTTGGGGCTGTGATGGGAGCCGGTTTTCAGGCCGCTTTTCATGGTGTTCGGGCTGAGCTTGCCGCTGAGGGACGCCGGGCGGTTGTGCGTGGGAGAAGGACTGAATTTTCTTACGGATATTGGAGAGGATGGCGTGGGGGTTAAAGGAGGCGATTCTGTCGATTTTAATGAACTAATCGATTTCGAAAGGTTGTGAGGCAGCTTTTCGGGTGGACCCATTGGGCTTTCATCGTCCCTTTTCCTTTTTCGTTTCTTCTCCAATTTACTCTTTTCGTCTCTGGAGGATCGGCTCTTTTTATCCCTGCTCTTCTCGTCTAAACTCCTATGTTGATTAGGTATAGGAGTAATAGTCAAGGAGTTCGATATGGGCGAGGACTCGGAGATCCGCTTGTCTTTAAAGCTCGTCGAACTACTCGATGGTATAGGCACAATAGTCAAACCGGTCAGCTTCTCCTCAGGTTCGTGCCTACTCGGTGATTTCTCCTTTAATTCCCTCTTGAATTCCTTCGACGATATCTCATCGATTTCCACGTCTTCCAAACGATCGAAATCTTCATCGGCTTTATCGGAGGAGCCCAACAGTTCCATGGGATCGATGCCCGAGACAGAGAGCTCAAGGTCCGTTTGAAACCCCAACAGCGAGTTGGGCGTTCGGATTTCCGTCTCTTGTGACAATGGGGTACTTCTCGACGTCGAATCGCAGCTGGAGGACTCGATCGTATCAGAGTCTTCTGTTCCTCCCACCTTCCGTTTGCCACTTTTGTTGCTTTCTTCTTGCTTGCGTTTTAGGCGCTTGGAACATTTATCCATATTTTCTGTAAACAACGTCGAAAATTAACTATCCTTTCACGCAATCTTTTAAAAATATCGTTAGACTTTGCTAGTTACTTACCAGATAGAATATTAGTGAGTTCCAAAGTCGTCAGTACCCCATCGGAAGGTGGGAAATTTTGAAAATTCGAGGCCATCATGGATTGATTGAGGAAAATCTCCTGGCTGGCCTGCATCATCACGTTGTGATTCGAATTCCCCGAAGGTTCTTGTTTGATCTTCTCGTTGAGACCGCCGAATTCGACGAGATTGTTGGCGGCCGGGTCCTTGGGCCCCCCGGGATCGCCGGATCCGAGGGGCAAGTTAAAATTTTCGTGGCCGCCGAAGTGGTTTCTGCGCATCGATTGCTTCTCCCACAGCTTGATGACCGAACGGAGCGTCACCGGTATCGAAAAGGATTTGTTCAGGATCTTCGAACTGAGCTCCGTGGCTATGTCGGAGGCGTTGATGGGCGGCGGGGAGCCGGGATTGTGCACTCGACATATTAAATTCGATATGTCGGATAAATCGATTTCGGCCGTTGCCATACTCTCTTCCACCGGGTGCTCGAGTGATATTGATATATGCGTGGAGGATAGGGCGCTTACTTCGAATATCGTCATATTTTCGAAATCTACAAACACAAAATATATGGAGATTTGGATAGGGAATTGCACAACAAGATATTATACCTTGCTTGCTATTGGGTCTAACACAACTAGCTATAATAGTATTGAACAAAGCCTGCTCCCTTAAAATCATGAGTATGCTTGCAACATGAGCAGGATGTGTGAAAGGTATGCTCGTTACTAATACTCCGTTCATGTTCTTATTTTCCGTCATGAAATAGCAATGACTTTGGTCCGGCAGCGTCTAAAAATTCAACAAATCGGTATTAAAAACGTAACTCAGGCATCTAAAAATTTAATCGAAATGGCACTTACAACAAACAATCCTTTGTTGTTGGTGGAATTCATTTTTTCGTCGCTGCAGTGAGTTACGATAAGATTCAACAGGGGTTGAACGGGCGCGTTGTCTATTTCTGTCCAAGGGTAGATTTGTTGGATTTGTCTTACTAAAGACAAGCAGAGCGGTAGAGGTTTGTTCAATTTCAGTAGAAAGCACGCTGGAATTACCGCGCTATTTTGGTTATTCAACGAAGTGTATGAAGGGGTGCTGAAATATCAAATTCAAAAATTTCATTCATAGTTCAAATCCATTGTATTGGGGGTTTTTAAACAGAATGTTACCAGCTTTAAAATGAACTCTTGTACTGAAAACCAGCTTGTTTTAATTTATTTTTTCATATAATTTACTAATATTTCATCGAATTTAACTACACTATCTTCATAAACTAACCTTTTCCCATTAAGTCCTCTGTTAACAGTAATTAAAGTAGAAGTTTGTAGTTTATGAGCTGCAGAGCCTTCCATACATACAGTAACGCTGTAACCCAAACTTTTGCTAGTAATTGTGTCTATATTAATTGGCTCTATTTCGTTTTTCTCTACATTTAGCAAATCATATGGTGATACAAAATAAGTCAATTTCATGGGGTGGCCGCCTTTTCTCTTCTCCAATATGCCCACTGGCGATTTGTGTATCAAATTAAAAGGTTCTTTCATAAACATCTGCAGCTGAGCTAATGTGATGAGGTCCGCTTCTAGAGATTCTAAAGCAATAAATGCTTTGCATTTGATCTTTTTTTCTGCGTTTAGTTGGTAAATCGAAGCGAAACCCTCCAGCTGGGCTGTAAAATCCGCAAAATCGCCTTTCGACAGACAATTGACCAATTCTGTACAGCTTTGTTGTTCTTTCTTGCCTTCATGGTGTATTTTCACATCATCCACTGCTCCTGTTGGGCTTAATACTATTTCTAAATAAAACATGTCTGACGATATAAATACACCTGAATGTTCCACAACAAACTTTAATCTGAAACATAAAGAAATTATGGCACTTGGCAAAGTTTTCATCAGTTTTTTAACTTACCCTAATTGCCTAGTTAAACTTTCCAATCTTTCGACCATACTTTGCAAAGAAGTGACTTTAATTGAATGTTGTAAAGTATCCAAACATTTCTGGTGTTGGCTCTTTTCAACGCTATCCGATGCATATCTTTTCTCCTAAAATAAAATATTGATAAAAAACGTTGGTAAAATATTTAGGAACTTACCAATAATGTCATGCGAACGTTCTTGGATATTTCGGCCAAACTTTTACATTGAGAAGTTTTAGATCTCAGCTTTTCCATTAAAATTTCTAGCTGCCAGTCTTTACTTTTGTCATTGTGTGGAACGACCGTTCCACTGGCTACAATTAAAAACAGTGAATTACGTATCAAACTACAAATTAACAATTAATACCATTTTGAACCCTATTCATTCTCGTTTATTTGATTTTTATTCATTTAGAACAACTTATAGTCATCTTGAAAACAAATATCACCTCCATTCTCCATTAACAGAAGAAATTATGACACTGTTGACACTATTTCACTGACACTGACATTTGTCACATTGACGCTCTCCGTTGTTGCCAGTTTTACAGACTAGGCTTACGTAAAAAAAAGTTAAAAAAAAGAAGAAAAAGACAAGTAACAAATCGAAATAACCTAAAAAAAAGCGAAACAAAACATTCCAATATATTTAAATTGAATTTAATATATTTTTAACTTGAATTAGTTATGGATAATGTAGCAAGCACCAGTACTTCCAGAGAAGAAGATAATTTATTTTTTGATCTTGAAGAAAACGAGTCAAATGATGAAGAAGGTAGATTTACTCTGTTACATTCACCTGATATATTAAAATTGTCAATAATTTTTCTGTAGAGAAAGAAACGAGAACGCCTAACAGCAAACTGCCGCAACATTTAAAAGGCCTTATGGGCGAAGCTAATCTTCGATACGCTAGAGGAGATCTGGAGACAGCCAAGAAAATGTGTTTCGAAGTTATAAGACAAGCGCCCGATGCCTACGAACCCTATTTGACTCTGTCTCAAATGTACGAAAACGTGAACACAAACAAATACAGGGCGTATTTAATGTTAACAAGCCACTTAGCTCCGCATGACACGGCAATTACTTGCCGATTGGCGGATTTCTGCGTACAAAACGGGGATGTAGCCGAAGCAATTAAATGTTACGCAAGGGTACTTAAATACATACCTAAAAATATGATGATTCACAGGAAAAGAATAGAGTTATTGGAGCAGAAAGGTAGATAATAGAATATTTTTTGATACACTTTGTACGTTAAATTTAATCGTACTGTTTCAGGTGACACGAAAAGTTTACTCATAGCCAAGCAAACTATGATAAACAATATTCCTAAAAAATACAGCGATATTATAATGCACACGGCAATGGAAGTTACCAAAGAGCATTACAAAAACAAAAATTACCTCAGAGCCATAGAAGTATTAAGGATACCTTTGAAAAGGATTCCCGAAATGGTTACGCACGATGTCATCAACGTCATGTTGGAATTACTGATAATTTGCGAACGTTTCTCCGATTGCTTGGACATTCTTACGCAATTTTGCGGTTTCACTTTCGACGTTACGCTAACTGAAGACAACAACATATTCATTAACTCGTTCGAACTTCCCGAAAACTTCCCCTTGGATTTGCGCAGCAAATTCATGTCGTGCTTGATCAAATTGAGGGCCGACCATTTATTTCCTCCTCTCATCGATAAAATGCTTGTGGAAGACGACGTCGAGATTTACGGGGATTTATTCTTAGACGTAGCGGAATCCCTGATGAACGTCGGTTACCATCAACAAGCTCTAAGCATACTCATAATTTTAATAAAGAGCAAAAGCTTCTCCCTGGCAGGTGTTTGGTTGAAATACGCGGAATGTTTAGCCGCATGCAACATGACGGAGCAAGCCATAGAAGCTTACTTCACTGTTAGGAGCTTAGCCCCCGCTCACGTGGAAGTTCTGTACCCTCTGGCGATGCTTCTTCTCAAGCAAAACAACGAAGAAGAAGCCCTCAAAGTGTTGGCCCAAGATCTGCAAACCAACAAGCTAGACGTGGCTGTGTTGCTGGAGCAAATGAAGCTCTTGAAGCAGCTGAACGATTGGAACGGTTACTGGAAAAGTATGGAATTGTTCCTTTCCAGGCACTCCTGCGTGCTGAAGCATCCGGAGGAACTAAAAATAGTGCTAACGAAAGATAGACCTTATGAGAAGATTGTCAGATTAAGAAGAATGAGGAATTTCCGAAGCGATAGCACGAATGTGGAGCCGAATTTCGACGTAATCAGCGAACCGAGCAAGGAGGAGGAGTTCGAATTTTATTTGGAAAATTTGCAGTTAGCTATGGATAGGAAGGAATTCGGGTATTATAAGAAGTTTACATTCATGGGAATGGTGTCGAAGAGGTTTTATAAATTTATTGGTAAGTTTAGATTATAAGCATACATTGTGCAAGAAAAGAGATTCTCTATAAAAAGTTCTGCTTGTCATAAGAATATGTTATTTCTCCCTTCTTCTGACATGTTGTGTTTTTTGCTTCTCGCTTTAATCCTGGTTCTTTTATCTTGGTTTTTAAGCAATTTTTCCAAAAGCTTTTGATTAATCATTGTGTATTTTCAGCTCATGTTTGTTTATTGACGTGCTGGGGATGCCTGATCACCTCCGACCTGTACCACGGGTACTTTTTAGTCAGAGACAACGTCCTCATGTACCCGAAGAACAATCTCTGTTGGAACTGGTTCAGTTTCATAACCTGCGCGTATCCAGACGACGGTAGGTTTTCGAGGTTCCTGGAAAGAGCCCAATGCCTCGGTTCGGAAAACGGAAGGTTGATGCTCGCCAACTACAATTTATCCGTGGGTAATTACGTGTTGGCGATCAAATACTATCTGAAAATGTTCAAACAAAGCGGCACTTCCTTGTCCGCACTGCTGCTGGGCACTGCCATGCTGCAGCATTACTGCAACAGGCGATCAGAGAAGTACAAGAAGAAAATTATCGCGGAAACTATTACATATTTGTTCGTGAATTACGCCCAGATCAGAACTAAACAGGCCGAGCAGGAGGTGTATTACAATATGGGCAGGATGTACCATCAATTAGGCGTCATATACTTGGCGGAATATTATTACAAAAAAGTGTTGAATGTTAGTAACGATTATTTGGAAAAATACCCGGATGTTTTGTGCTTGAAGAGAGAGGCCGCTTTTAACTTACACGTGATTTACAAGGCTAATGGAAATTTAATAGCGGCGAGGAATATTCTGTATGAAAATATTGTAATTTAAGACACTCGAATTGATATTAAGCGCTTATTTTTATAGGTATTGAAAGTACATTTGATACAATAAATAATTATGTACCTGCAGACATTTATTACTTATGTACTATATACATTCAATTGACTTTGGATAGACTACTCGTCAAATCTGTGTGACATAAATCAAAAAAATAATAAATCACTCAAAATCATTCAACATCAAAATTTAAAATTGTTCGTAAAAAAACTCGTAAAACCATCCCGATTGAACATGTCCGGCATAAACAGGTACCACCCAGATAAGTTCGAGACGGGTAACGATGAATCTCGTTTGTACGACTTCAAAACGATAATAAACCAATACGATGAAAACGTGGTGAACGTGCTGATGCCGTTCATGGTGAACATTTTGGATTGCATGAACGTCGGCTACAGGGAAAAGAAAAAGTACGAAGCCAAGCTGAAGAAGATCGTCGAGGAAAAATTGAGTTTGAAAAACAGGGAAAAGAAGGAAAATAAGGTCTTGCGTAAGTTATGCAGGGTGTTTTTATAAACTACTTGTTGCACAAGTTACTAAATCAAGTTGTCCACACCATACAAGTAACTAAAATTTTGTAACTTGCTTTAGCTACTTGATATGTGCCCCCCGCGCCTTAAGTTTCGGTTAAGTATAATAAAAGAATGCATTGTTTTTAGTAAAAGAACTGCAGGATCAGATGGTCAGATACCAAAATGAGCACAAATCGAGACTCTTCCTGGAAGCCAAACTCTCCGACATTGAGAAACGAAAAGAAAGCGAAGTAAGGAACATGATGAATCGGGTGGAAGCTCTGGAAGTTCTGGTGCAAACCTTAGAGCACAAATTTAGAGAATCCACCCAGTGCATCGAGAAATTGGAGGAAAAAGAAGCCGATCTAAAACGGGAATACTCCAGCTTGCTGGAAAGGTACACCAAATTATTCAAAGAGCACGTCGAGTACTTGGACAAATCGAAGCCCTTGAATCGGCGAGAATCTTTGCTAAAAGAGAAACACTCCGAAGAAAAACCCAGATTTAACGAAACTGCATTCGCCGACGAGTTGAAATTCGAACCACACGCGTCGGTTAGAAGCAACTCTTATCAAAATCACTCCAAGCCGGTAGACAATCGACAATATCCACAAAATAATGCCAATTTCGAAGCAGACCAAGACCAAGCCGAGTTGCAAATTCCAGTGGAGAATTTGAAGGAAGCTTACGTAATGGAAAACGGAATTTTGTACTTCGAGCAGCCTGCGGCAGCACCCGAAAGCAATGACGAAGATGAAGAGAATGAAGAAAAGAGAAAACAATTCGAACAATACCAAGGCGAGACTGAAGATGAAGAGCAGAACGAAATTCAAGATATACCGATTATGGATAATTCTTTTCAAAATGACTTCGTTATGAATGAATTTTAACAAAAAAAGGATAAGGATATTATACAGTTCACGAGCAATAAATATTAAATTACTCTTTTCAAGGATAATTAGTTTACATATTGATTAATTAATATAATATGCAGGTGCTTTACAATATTTGATTCTTCAGTGATTTTTCAAGGGCTGCCTAGATAATGAACACACATAAAATAACAATCAACTTTTAATTCTACCTTTTTGAAACTCGCTATATGTATAATTAATATCAAGTAATTAATTTCTATTCAGGAACTATTTTAATCCACGCTTCCTCCTCTTCCCCATTCTCTTTCGGTATCCTAACTTTTATCAACTGCATCGGCCCCTCTGAAGTCTCGATTATCTGCGTCTCTCCGTTAGCTAAAGCGTCACTCGTTATGATTTCTTCTTCGTAATCTTCATCCGTTTGTTCAGCCACTACCTGTATATAAAAAAAAATTATTAATCGATATATCAATAATGAACACATACAAAAATATCTGGTTCTTTGAATTACTAATCATTGATAACTAAAGTTTGGAAAATATGCAATAAAAAAATAGCAAAATATCAGAAACCAGATAATTTTTTGAAATTATATTATTAAAAGAAAAAGGTAAGACATATACAGATACCATGTTGACTATTAGACTATATTCTTCCTATTAGAACATTAGAAACATAGGATAGAATCATTTAGAACTGTTTAGAATCAATTAAAACTGTTTAGAACAATATAGAACGCTCCAGAAACTTTTAGAATTATTTAGAACGCTCTAGAATCGTATAGAACTCTCTAGAGCCATTTAGAACGCTGCAGAACTATTTAAAACGCTCCAGAAACATTGAAAGCTGACTAGAAGCATTTAGAACGCTCTGGAAACATTTAGAATTATCTATATAAATATTATCACCTGTTCCATTTCTTCGATTTCTTCGTTCTCATCATCGCTACCGACCTCGGCGAAACTGATTTGCTGACCGTCGATGATGATGTGCTCGGTGGTCGTTGCCTCTTCGAACATTTCGGTTACTTCGGCTGCGTTGACGGTGGCAAGTGGATCGTCTTCGGTTGTAGTCAGTCTGGGTTGATTCACCACTATCGTATCGTTCAAGTGACCGCGTGCCTGCATATGCTGACTGCAAATCGAACAAAAATATTAGGTCTAGTAAATAAACAGATAAACAGTAAAATCGTCATGCATTCGAGACACAGTTTTGACGAGATACTCTGTATATTCATTAATAGTTAAAAATATAGTTACTATAATAAAGGTTTCCTCATGAAACCGGCTCCGCATATCAGGCATTCGTACGGTTTCTTGTCGGAATGAATGAATCTATGGGCGTTACGGTTATCCCTACTGTTAAAGGCCTTGCCGCATACTTCGCACAAAAACGGTTTTTCTCCGGTGTGGATGCGCCGGTGTTTCTTGAAATGTTCCGGGTACACGAAAGTCGCTTCGCAAGTTTCGCATTTGTACGGTCTTTCGCCTGCAATATTGATTAAATAATCATTTTGGATACGAACTGTTGTGCGTTAGAGGAAGTACAGAGCTTCCCCAAATGGTATCTTAACTACAGAGACAAAAAATAAGTTGATATATTACGTACCAGTGTGGGCAGCTTTGATGTGATAATCCAGCAAACGCCTCCGTTTGAATCCTTTACCGCACACAGTGCATTGATATCGTTTATCGTCGTAATGAGTAGCCCTCTTATGCGATTGTAAATTTGACCTTTGACTGAAAGTGGCACCGCAAAATTCGCATTGATACGGCCTTTCTCCTACAACAAAAAGTACCGTTTATTGCTTGAAATATTAACGGGTGTAGTTACAAATGAAAACTAAAATATTTACCGGTATGGGTGCGTTCGTGATCCCTAATCTCGGCCTTCCGAGCGAACGCCTTTCCGCACAATCCGCAAACGAACGGCTTGTAACCCGTGTGCACGATCGAATGCACCTCCAAGTTGTGCATCGATCCGAACTGCTTGTTGCACAACGAGCACGTGTACTCCTTCATGCCCAAGTGGGTGCGCTCGTGCTGCGTCAGATTCTGCTGGTTCAAAAACGACTTGTTGCACTGGGCGCACTTGTAGGGCCGCGGCCGCAGTTCGTGCGTCTTCTCGTGCGCCTTGTACGTGTACTTGCTGGCGAAGTCCTTGCCGCAGACGCCGCACACGTACGGCCGCAGCCCCAGGTGCGTGTTGACGTGCTCCTCGAGCAGGTTCTTGCTGCTGTACTTTTTGCCGCACGTGTCGCACACCCACGCCTTGCTCTGCGGATAGTGCATGCGCTTGTGGATGCGGAACAGCCGCAGATTGGTGAAGATGCGGTTGCACACCTCGCATTGGAAGTCGCCCTCTTCGGCGGCGACGTGCTCGTCCATGTGGGCCGAGAGTTGGTTGCGCTTGCAGAAATCCTGGCCGCACACGTCGCAGATGTACAGTCGCAGGTCGTGGGCGTCCTTGGCGTGGGCGATGATGGCTTTGGCTTCGCCTGCTACGGTTTCGTCGCCTTCGCAGAGGAGGCAGGTGTACAGGTTGCCTTCTTTGGAGACTACCGGTAGGGAGACGGTGGATTCGGATTTTTTGTCGTCTTCGTTGCTGGCCGATTCGGAGATGATTTGTTGGTGTTTTTTCCTGAGGATTATCGGTTTTTTATCCACTTCGGTGGAGTTCGATTTGTTGGCGTCGGTTAGTTTTAAATGAATGTCTGCAATTTATAATTTCATTAAGTTGTTAATACACCTATTGAGTATTGTACCTTGATTGTTAATGGGAACATCGACGAAACTCGCCGTTTTACCCAACGAGACGTTTTTGAGTTGGACATTTTTGGACAGATCGAAATCCTCGTCGGAAGATTGCTCAATTGCACCGGTGTCCAAAATTATTTCTCCATCATCGGTGGAGAATCCTTGATATTCTATGCTGGCTTCAATTTCCATTTCGTTTTCTTTTTGTTGCTGCTCGATTTCTTGGTCGATATCCACCACACCGTGAATTCCATCTAATTCTAAATGTATGTCTTGAAAACTCGATTTATCAGCGGAAATCTAGAAAGAAAACCACATTTGAAAAACGTTTCACAAGACTATTATCGGTACATTTAAAGGTGCTGGTCTAGTAAGCAGTCTACCCTGCTGCATCTGGTCGAGTATGCGGTCTACCCTACTGCAGATGGTCGAGTATGCGGTCTACCCTACTTCAGATGGTCGAGTATGCGGTCTACCAAAATTTAATATAAACAAAGTATTTATTACAAAGTAACAGCAAGATTTGAAAAAGTTACCCTTCATTAATCAAAAGAAAAAAATTTTATAGTATATTAAGTATGGACTAGCAGGTAAGTAATTCAATTTATCGAGAATTACGGAAGTATCAGAATTATATTTGAAAGGGTATTTAAATATACTTGGGCGACAAAATATGTATGTAGACCGCATACTAGACCGGCTCCCATTTAAATGAAATAGATAGCTTAATTAAAACATTGTGAAATATGACCCAAAAATTACAAGTAAACAGTTAAAATAATTCATCAAATAGCTTACGAAACCCCTTTTATATGTATTAGTTTTAAATTACGAATTACTTGTACAGAATCCTCATCGGAAGAAGGGATGAACAATAATTTCTTCGTAACATCAACGTCGTTCTCTTGAGATTTATCGACTAGTTCTTGTTTAATGCAGTCGTCGTCCGAAATCCGTTGTACAAGAATTTCGCTTTTTATTTCATTCACTCTAGTTTGGAGTTCCTCGAGTTCCGACAGCAACGTAAAGCATTTCTTACATATGAATTGGAACTTGTTGTAGTCCGGCTTGATTTCTTTATTTAACAGCTTATACACTAAGGTAGCTAAATGTAAATCGGTTTCTGTGGCAGGCTGCAAGATTAATTCGAATAAATTGATTTGTGTTATAACTTTTGTATGGTTTTTTTAACACTTACCTCCTCGCTGAACACTTCGATGTAATCGGCATCTACTATCCATTTAGCGTTGCAAACGATGCAAAGGTCGACATCGGAAGGCATATTGTATTTTTTCCTCTTTAATTATACGGTTTTTTCGGCTTAAAATCCAAATGAATTTATTACTTACTGACATTGATTAGTTTGTGTTTACTACCTAATATCAACACGCCCTACATTCAACATTTCTATTAAAAGAGTTTTAATATTTTTCTTAATGCAACAATAACATTTATTAGTATCATACCTTTCAAATTTTAAAGATTATTTAGGGAAAAGCTTTATTTTCGTCCAAAAACAGGGCTGCTAACAAATGTTGCCAAGCTTGACAATTTTTACGTCAAACAAGTGTGGTACTACGTGACGCGTAGAGAGAGATAGTCACATTTCCACATCCTGTTTTCAAGCGCGTTTTTTTGTTTGAATTATCAATAAACTACAATAATTTCTAATTTGTTTGTAACAAATTTAATTTTGAGGAGTAAATTAGTGACTTTTTAAGAATCTTCAAGGTATGAATTATTCGATCCATTAGAATTGGGCAGTTTACTATTTGTACAAACGAACGCTCCTGTAGGATGAACAATTTGTTTTACTGGTTGCCTAACTTGAAGAATATCACATCTATCTAAAATTTTATTTCTAAATTTACAGTCATAGACAAAATAAAACATCTTTCTTTCTCTATGTTTACAGTGTTTCATAGAAATGTTCATTAATATTTTAAGAGATTAATCTCGGTTTCAAAATATGAAAATTTAAGAACATAATTTTGGTTTTATCTTCGAATTAGTATTTGTTCATTTCGACATTTTTTGCAATTCATGAAATTTTTAAAAACACATTTGTTTCCCAACATTTTAAGTATTAATCAAGTTGCACAATGGGCGTTTTTTAAATAAAACAACAGTATAAAAATGTGGAACTTAATTATTTGCTTAAAACATACAACTGTATTACATTTACACTTATACGAACAAATAACACTTTACAAGAACAATAATTAAAACTAATAGCAACATCGTAACTTGACAATAATTTTTCTAAATTAAATACCGATAAAAATAACACTTTACAGGAACAATAATAGAACTATCGTAACTCTAACAAAATCTCGGCGTTAATTATTGATAAAATACTCCTTCAGCTTTAAAAATTTCCTCTTGAATTGTAAACCACAGCCTTTACACAGTCTAAAATCTAACAATATTTTCTTGTCCATTTCGATGAGGTTGATTTTGAAAATCAACTGATTTTTAAGCGAATCTGTAGTGGTGATCGAGACGGCCCTGTTAACATCTACAGACCACGTTAAATGCAAAGAATCGAGGATAGAACACAAAGTTTCCATTGTTCGTTCTTTGGTCATTGAAACGTAAAATCTGGTCATCCTCTTTATGAGATTATCGAAGTTGTCTTTAGTAATAGGGCTTTGGGTGAATTGCACCATCCAATTGTCATTCTGAGTTGGTTGAGAGAAGCACAAGTGATCGTTGCTCGTTGTTTTGACAGTTTGCATGATAGTCGATTGACGTAGAGACGAGTTCGGTTGAGATAAAGTCACAGTAGGTTTTTCTCTGTTCAGTATTGTTTCCTCGGCTACCATAGAATTGTATCGTTTACATCGAGGTTCCGAGGTCCCATCTACGGTGTCTTCCTCTGGAGCTTCGGCATTAAAGTGGACATGCATCCAAGGTTGTCTTTCGATTTCGTCGAGGGTCAGCCGCTTTTTGGGGTCCACTTGGAGTATTTTCCTAGCCAAACTGAGCGCCATGTAGCCCAGCTTGGACCAAGGGGTGTTCAAGATGTACATGTCGTTGTTCCATTGATTGAACTCTGCGTTTTCGTCTGTAGCGAGACTCCACGGTAGTTCACCCGTTAACATGGCAACGAACACGATTCCGCAGCTCCACAGATCAGCGGGTTCGGCTCGGTAGGGCCTGAGGAAGACTTCGGGCGCCAGGTAGGGTTTCGTGCCGCATTTCTTGTCCAACCACCTCTCTTTACCCTTGAATCTGAAGTAAGTGGCCATGCCGAAGTCGCTGATTTTCAAGACTCCTTCGGCGCTTATGAGTATATTCTCCGGCTTGATGTCTCGGTGGGTTATGCCTTTGGTGTGTAAATATTTCAGGCCGCAGAGGAGTTGTTTCATGAACAACTGGACGCTGCCCGAGGGCATGCCGACGTCGGGTTCTATCAGTTGAAAGAGCTCACCTCCTTCGGCGTACTCCAGAAAGAGATATTCCTTCGAGGGCTCCTGTCGCCTGCCGAAGAATTTGATGATGTTTTCGTGGTCGAGGGTTTTGTGGATGACCACTTCGCGGTTGATCTGCGACGAGGCGTCCTTGTATTTGTCGTGATTGATGATTTTACATGCGATTTTCTCCTGGGTGCGTTTGTTTATTAGTAATTTTACTTCGCCGAAAGCGCCTTCGCCGAGGATGTTGTCGAAGCAAAGCCAGTCCTGGACGAACACCGTGGTGGTCGATATATCTTCGGAAGACATTTTTGGGTACTTCTTTCAGTGTTTTTGCGAGTTTTTAATTCAGAAAAATATTAGTTTTTAATTTAATTGTTCACATAACCTAAAATAACAACAAAATAATATAACGTCTTCTTCTTTTATTTAATTTGAATAGCTGTCAAATTGTTGGCCTTTGTTGTTTAGTTTATGCAGTAATCCAGTTAGCAATAATTTCTAATTTCTGGAGTTTTGAGAAAATTGGACCCTAGATTTGGAATTTCCTAGACTCCTTTTATTAATCTAAAAAATACTACTTCAGCATATCTGGTCCACCTTTCAAGTGAATAAAAAAATCTGAATTTAGCGCTATTTTAATGTATGCTGAACAGAAAACTTTTAAATTTTGCGCTGATGGTTTTATTGCACTAAAAACATTACAGTTGGGGGGCTAGCTAGATGGCAAGTTCAACTTCCAATCAAAAATTAATTGGTTTTTTGAATAAATATTTACATAGAGAAATGCGCTTTCACATTCTGTTAAACTTGATTTTTGAGCCAGCTCTCTCTTGGTGTACCCCAAATTGACTTAAAAATGCATAACTATGGACAATGAACGTAAATTATATAAGATGATTCTGCAATTTCTACGCTCCCGCGTTCTCTTGGCACGCCGGCCAAATTAGGCCAAATTGACCTAAAACACATGATCATGGATAATTAAATTATGCACGATGAATCTAGGATTTATGCGCTCTCACATTCTCGTTTATTTGATTTTTGCGCTACATTGCATAATTATGGTGCCAAGTCAAGAGACAAGTTCCATCGGTGATGTAGCGCAAAAATCCGATTAATTAGAATGTGAGAGCGCACAAATCGTAGTTTTATCTAAGACAAGTTCATTTTCAGTTAGCAATTATACTTTATTACTAAGTTTTCTTCGAAAAATACAAGGAAAAAACAAATCAAGAGGACCTCAAAGAGGTAGGTATAATAATGGAGAAATTTCAAAATGGGTGGAAATTGACAAATGTTTCAGACTAATGGAAACTATTGAAAAATTAGTCAGAGATCAAGAGAGGTAATGGGGTAATTTCTTAAAAAATTAGATTCATTTCTTCCTACACTTATTAGATTTTCTAATTTTGTTTTGCTTTAAAAAGATTTTATTATTTCGTCCATATTATAATTAATAAGCCTCAATTAATCCTGCAGGATTATACCAAGGCTTATAGATTGGTGTACTTCAATTTTATGACCCCCAGAATGAGGATATTCTCTATTCTCTATTGAAACTAACATTTTTTCTGTATGTATCAAAAATTCACCCCTAAAAACTTATAACACCTAGTCATAAAATCATTTCATAAATAATTTTAAATTCTCTTGTTAAAAAAGACAAGTTCTAAGTTGCGACTTGTATCTTGGAAGAGCGCAAAACTATCACTTGCTCTGAGCACTTTTCAGAAAGCAGGAAGGCAGATGTGAATTATAATATTATACAACAATCGCACCATCAACCCTATACAGAAACGCCTCTGCAAACACATCTGCAACCAACAAACCTATATGATATGCCATGCTTGAAGAGGTCTCGGCCATGCTCGACAGATACTATCTATCCAATCCACCCGTTTTACATTTAATGTGAATTGTGTGTATTTACAGCACACCTTTCCAAGTGTTGTGTCGTCGTTTTGTGTATATCTTCTGTGTCGTTTCGTTCAGCCAGTGCTGCGGTGACAGTGGACTCGAATTGTTCAACATAGTGCATGCACAGCGTGCAGTGCGTGTTCGTGCGTGTGTGTGTGTTTGTATTTCTCGCGAAACGCGATAGTACAGGTGAATCTAGTACAGGTGAAACTCGCCGAAAAACGCGATAAGCTCTGTTTAATCGAGACCGATTTCGGATTTGGACGAGCGAAGAATTTTATTTAATTTATCGATGATATTTACACAGAAAACTTCGATTTGTGAGGTGTTTGAATTGGATTATTCGCTAATAAGCGAGCGACATTAATAGTAGGATTAAGAGAACGCGGTCACTGAGGTAGGTATTAGTTTTTTTACGGATAATCGAATTTCTAAATATTTTATTTGTTGTTTATGCGTTCCGGTAGTTGCGAAATTGATTGGTATTGATGTAGAGTGAAATTTAATTTAGGGAAAAACGTGCGAGAGAGCCGCAAAAAGTGTTTGTTGATAACTATGTTTAAACAAAGTGTTTGATTGGTAAATGTATGTATATGCTTTTACTGTGGATAGGGGTCATCAAAAAGGTACTGATAACCGAATAATACAAAATATCTTATGAAATATTTATGTCGATTTTTGTAATTTTTAAATCTCTTTGAGATCAATAAATCGAATAAGGAATTCAATTACCTATTTTGTACCAATAATGAAGCAGCCTCTATATCTATTTTGCACTTTTTTAATTATTTATTGTATTAAGGTAACTCGAAATAATTTGGGGTTTTAATGACTTATTTCTGAAACATGAAACTGTTTAAACCCCATTAATGGTATTTTAGCATTACGAACCTTTTTTACATCAGTGGAATAATTACAAGTTCCACTTGATTAGGATTTTATTTGAAATCCTTCCGAGAAATATCAAAAATTGTACAAATTTCGAAAATTCCTCATTCCACTACACATTAGAGACAAAACAAAGAGGAAATCTTAAAAACGTGAGTAATCAAAGATCGATTTTTAATGAGACCCATTGGGTTCCTAATTAGATTTTAATTCTTTTATATACCAGTTATCATTTTTATCAACTATTCGTTGAGCAGTTAATTTTCAATTATTTTACTAGTGAAATTAACAACTTAACTTTTGAAAATTAAGGTAGGTACTTTCTTTTTTACCAATCCCCTACACACTTTAAATCAAAATTTCATCCTTCCTAGATGTAGAAACATCTAACACTAAATTCCTTCTAACTATTTTCTTTTTAACTAGCATTTAAACTAGTTCACTAAATTAGTAATTAATTATAACAACATTCTCACGTCTAAATTGTTAATTTTTTATATTACTGCTTCTTCTGTGCCTTCCCCGATATCTCTGAATTACAATATTTCTCAACCTAAATCACCTCATTCCACAGTTTAAGTCGAAGAATATACCTAACCAGAGAAATAATTAGTGTCATAATTTTACCTCGGAAAAAGCCATTTATGTATTTATGGCGATAAGATTATCAGACAGAAGGTTTTCATTATAATAGGCTTATCAACGCCCATTATTCTCCTCAACAAACAAACACACCCCTAACTGCAGGTGTGGCCTGTCATTAATCACACTGACAGATTACCTGACGTGCGACACCTTTCTTATACACATACAATGCGATTCGAGTTCAATTAAACGTCCTACCGAAACGGAATACAAATAAATCCTTTATGGAGAACAAGTTACAGTACCACAAGTGTCTCTTTTCTTTTCCAATGAGCATTCGTGTCGATCGAATGGCGGTGTTAAATGTCAACGTAAAACAAGATAGGTGATAATTCCTATCCAGGTCAAAGCCTAATAAATTCGATATTAGGCGCGTTTTGAGCAGTTCGAATGCGAACCGAGATCTATGCGATGTTGATGAAATTAAATAGTGTACAGGGTGGTGGAATTTCTAGGTTTTAATAAGGTGTTTGGGTAATAAATTTTGATGGTGATGAGGGTAAAATTAATCTAAAAATGTTAATATTTTAAAGACGCGCTGTATAAATAGTTTTAGTAGTACATTTTGAGGTAGTATCAATAATTTTATTGAAAAAATTTAGATTCGGTCCATAACATTCTTGAGGAGTTTTTGAAATCAATTTATAACTTTTGAATCATCATTAAAAATGTCAAGAAAAGACCTCTAAACACTAAAGTGAGAAAAAAATGTCAAAAATCCTTATTGAACCAAAAATATTCGGCCACACTGTATTTTAAATTCCAGATATGCGCGAAAAATTAGTCATTATAATACATTAAATAATTACCGTGGAATGGCCGATTGGATTTTCGCAAATGGAAATGTTTATTATGTCACAGAAAGTCGATAAAAATTTAGTGCAGTTTCATCGCCGTAAAAATGAGTCTGCCGAGTTAGTGAAGCTAAATTTTCCGTGTCAATGTGTTCCAATCCAGTACTAACCATTGTTATTGTCCCAGGAATAGAATAAATAACACGACATTTTATCATTACTCGATATAAAATCATTACAGAAGGTAAGGTATCAGTTACGTTTATGGAATTGTATTAAAAACTATATCATTATTTTACCGAACTCCATCAACATCAATAATACTAATCAGACAAGTGGAATTGGGGATGTTGTAGCTAACAATTTATAATTCACATCCTCTTGTATTATTTACGTTGGTAATAGCTAGGTGAATCACCTTATAGAGTGCAGTAAAAACTTCTTTTAAGCCGCATACATAATTCATTTGCTACTGTAAAGTAGATGTAAACGTGCCTTCGAGACACGTGAAGTAAATATAAATACGATAATTCAATTCGGGCAATTGAAAGTATATCAACTCTAACCTTCTATGAACGGTTTTTTTATAACGAAAGATCGATCGAGGAATTTTTTAATAGTTTTATTGTATACTGAAATCGCAATTACAATATTAATCGAGGTTTCTGCTCATAGCAACTGCTAAACCTCTGCTAGGTATTCACGGATCGACAGGAATAGCTGAACACGCGAGATGTGCCAGAACTTGGCAATTCGATATCACTTAGATTAATAGGAACCAATCAAAAATTAAAAATCACCAAGTACAGGGAAAGTATAGGATGGTCAATTATTGGTCCTGAATCTTTTGGACCCAAAAACTCAATTTTGCCAACTCTTTTTCGCGTCTTTAGCTATTAGTATTGATCTGTACTTTAACTGAACATAAAAGTACAAGAAACACTAATCAAAATTCGTTATTTTATGTGTGTATCCATCCATATTTTATCTTCGAGTCGACAATATTTTATAAAAAAGACGTTTTCTAATTAAACGTCTTACGCAATTAGCTATTTACCTTGTAACTACAGCCTGAACAGTTATTGGATATAAACAGAAATTTCTC